CCAGGGGCGGCGGGTGCTGAGGGACGGAGGGGCTGAACGGGTTCACCCCCTCCCCACGTGGATCAGAGCCCCTCCACACTCTCCTGCATGGAGCAGATTCCTCCCCAGATTCCCCCCTGCCCTTCATGGAGCAGATCCCCGCACACAGTGTCCGGAGTGGATGCCCTCTTCCCTCCCTTCCACAGGGACAACACAGCACACACGCAGGCAGTCTAGGCTGCTCATCCCCAGCCGTTCCTTCCACTCGTGGCAGATCTTCACACACATGGGCTGTCTGGAGGAGACACTCTCTCCATGGACGGCAAGGGCAGAAGAACCGGGCAGTTCAAGTCACAGCTATCGTGGAGAGATCTGTATTTTCCTGATTTAACTCTTAGCTTCTCTCAAATATGAAAGTTGAAACTGTGGAGAACAACTGAGGAATGTGTTCCCATTGCCCTGGGAATCCTTCTCCCTGCATAAGACATACCTTGGACTTTGGGAACCACTGACATACCTCCTACATCCATTCACAAACACTGTCAATCTCAATAAATTGATGCATCACCAAGGTTTATTTTTATTTCCCACACCTTCTATTTAGGATTGGTTAAATATGACCAGGTCAATGGTTAGATACACAGAAGTCAGCACAGAGCCTGCTGCAGCTCTGGTCAGGGACATCATTTCTCTGATTTCTAAAAACAAAAAAAAAAAAAAAAGAAGATAATGTAGAGATTATTTGAGCAAATGGATCATTGGTGGGGTTACATCATAGCGTGTGGCTGTTGCAAATGTTCTGCTATATTACTGGCAAAAAACCAGTATCTCCCAATTGTGCTGAAAAGTCCTGGACTCTTAGAGTCGATCATATGTGGTCAGTTTCTTGGGAGGCACCAAAAGAACTGTCAAACCACACTGGTTTTGAATAAGAGCCCATTTCTGGCTTTCTTTTATGAGGAAAGTAGTGCAAGAGTGGGAGGAGTAGAGCTGTGGCTGCCAGGTGTTTGGTCAGAGTTCTTTGTGGCCCTCCTCTGCAGCCCTCCAACTCACCTGTCCTTCACGACTTTTGGCTCGCAACTTGTTAACCTGACATTCAGCAATATCAGCTCTTTCTTCAGCCCCTTCCAGCTCGTGCTGGGTCTTGCGGTATCGTGCGAGAACAGCATTTACCTGTTCTTCCTGGAAGTCATGCAGTGTTGTCAGTGTCATGGACACAAAGTGACATTGCCCTGTTACTATTAACTGAACACCCTATGGCAGCACCATGGTAACATCCCCTACTAGTTTGCATCAAAGGTACATCCCTGCATTGCCAGCACCTGTGCATTTCTATCTGGTGCTGTCAACAACATGAGCACTCAGCTGGGGTCGGAACAATTAGTTCTGATCGGTTCCAGATGGGAAAGTTGGCTAGTGTAGCTCCAAAAGTGCAACAGCTCCAGGGCCATTACAGCTGTGCCTGCTCAGTTGTGAGCTGTAAGTTTTTATGAGGTGAGGACTATTCAAAGGCAGGGCCATAGCTGCCCTGTCAAACTGGGTATTCAATTATTTGAATGAAATTGGGAGCCCAGACCTTTTGGAAATCTCCACCCAGAGCCCCCACAGATTTAAGAAGAGTCTGGCACTCACAGCTTCCTCAGCCTGTTTCTTGTATGCTTTCACTTTTAACTGCAGTTTGTCCACCAGGTCCTGGAGCCGGAGAATATTTTTCTTATCCTCTTCAGACTGTGGGAAGTGGAAACCATGTTGGCTTTGGAAGACAGACAGAAGTGATGCACATAAGGGTGCCAAAGGATTTGAAGTACCTGGTAAGTGAGCTCCTTCAGCCTTCGTTCATACTTGCGAGCACTTTTCAGTGACTCAGTTCCTTGTTTCTGCTCAGCATCAAGCTCGTTTGCTAACTCACTGACCTGAAACACAGTATCATGGTGAAGACAGCAAGCTGCCAGGAACGGTTGCTGATCCTGCTGTAGGAACCTGGGAACCAAGGTTCTGTGGACTAAGTCTGCAGAAAAAGCGGCAGTGCAGGGCAGCTTTCTGCAGCTGCTCCTTGGGGCTAGACTAGCTAAAAACTGCTCACCATTCTATATTAGTAGTGACATAGTGTGTGACTCCATAGTTATTTATAGAAGGAACTTAGCTGTGCACACCTGGGACATTTATAATCAAAATTAGGCTTGAATCTGTCAGAGAAGAGGAAACTGAAACAGGGAAGAGTCAATGTTCACCAGGTAAATGGGGAAAATCTGTTTAATTTGTAATCTTTTGAGCCCAGCTCATCCTCATGAATAGTCCTTAACAAGCTCCTATAGCTCCATGCGTCTTCTGCAGTGTATATGAGTCAAACTTGGACATCAAAGTTTTTACTTCTGTATGGGTATTCCTTTCAAAGCCAAGAGCACCTAATTTCCAGTCAGTTGTGCTATATTTTGGAACAGTTAAGGAGCGCAACAGGCAGGTCAGGCAAATGGTCCATGTAGCCCAATGCTCTGCCTCTGATAGTGGCAGCAGGGGGACTATTGAGGGACAGCCTGGAAACCTGGCTGCTATCTACTCTCCTCATGCTTCCATGGCTTCCACAGTCATTAGATTGGTGGTGTAAGGTGGCATATCTATGTCTGTTCCCTTAAGTATGTCTATAAACCTGCTGATTTCTAATCCCTTTTGAACCTTCTACCCACTTTCTCCGCAGCCTCCCATGCAGCAGGTTCCAGAGTTTCACTGCCCACTCTGTAAAATACTTCCTTTTATTTATCTTAAACTGATCTCCAGGTGAGGATGTCCCAATCTGCATCATGTGTCCTTACTTCTCATATTGTGCATTTTGGTGAATAACCATTCAGAATACATCTTAGTCCCTGGTGACAGGATTCTGTAAACTCTCATGGCATCCCCCTCAGACATCTCATCTCCAAACAGAAGAGTCCTAGCCTTGTTTGTCTCTCCTCATAAGGCTCAACTCAGCTGCCATTCCCTGGATGCTTCTCTAACTGTCAGGTCCTTGAGTTGCAGATACCAGGACTGCACATTATATATTTAATATAGTGGCAAGTGATGCTCTCTGTCTTGTTTTCTGCCTTTCCTATTGAAGCCAATTTTTTTTTCTCTTTTCTAGTTTTGTTTCTACTGTACATTGAACAAAAAGTTTCTGAGGCTCTCCTGGCTGAGCTGCAATTGCCAGATCCAAGTTCATCCATGTTATGTGTTTTTAAAGTTATTTTTGCCTATATGTCTACCCTGATGTTTATCTGCCATTTTTTGCCCACTCAGTATTTCTGAAGTTGTTCTTAAGTTCCTCACCCACAATGCAGTGTTTGACTACTCAATCTAACTCTCATCAAGCCTTCTGGAGGTACCTGGGATTATCCCTGTTGTAACCTTCCTAAGAAGTTCCAGCAATCAAGGGCCCACTCAGGAATTTGATCTTAGTCTACCTGAGTCTTCACCATACCCTCGCCTCTAGTTTCTGGAGTTGCTTCTTTCCACCCTTCAGTGCCAACTGCTCAGCCTCATCCAGACGGTGCTGCATGTTCTTCACCATCTGGTCCAGGTTCTTCTTCATCCTCTCCAGGTGGGAGCTGGTGTCCTGCTCCTTCTTCAGCTCTTCTGCCATCATGGCCGCCTGATGAGAGCAAAGGGTCAAAGCCATTTTGGGGCTGGAGACATTCTGGGGGAGAATACATCCACCATCAGCAGTGAAAGGAGCCCCTGACTCACATCTGTGATGGCCTTCTTGGCCTTCTCTTCAGCATTGCGGGCTTCGTGGATGGTATACTCCATCTCACCCTGAATTTGAGCGATGTCTGTTTCCAGCTTCTTCTTGGTGTTGATCAAGCTGGTGTTCTGTTGAACAGCATCAACATGACAATTTTCTTTTTATTACCTTGTGGTATTATATTGAGAATATTGCACAAATATTGTTTTTCAATGTAAATTGTGCTAGGTCACATGGGATTGTGTACTATAGGAGCTACAGTGGTAGCTGTTAGTTTCTCAGCCATGTTGTACTTCCTTATTTCAAGAACATGCTCCATAAAGTCTTTCCTCACAGTTTTTCAGTCATTAGAGAAGGAATTATAAAGACTTATAAAGATACAAGATGTAATAGTTGGCAGCTGTTTCTCAGCCATGTTGTACTTCCTTATTTCAAGAACATGCTCCATAAAGTCTTTCCTCACAGTTTTTCAGTCATTAGAGAAGGAATTATAAAGACTTATAAAGATACAAGATGTAATATTTCCTTACAGTTTTCAATCTTGTGGCAGTAAAAATTTTAAATGGTGAAATAGAATACTTATAATGACATTGCTAAATGATGTCAGTAACTGTGTTTGTGTATTCCTGTCTTGAAAATGATTAATCTTTGATTTTACGTTCTCAAATGTAAACCTGAAAAACTTAACTGAGTTGTAGGGTAGGAATTTCACATATCTCTCTGAATTGATTACTTTTAAAGTATCTGCACTGTAGTCTAGTGAAATTAATTTCTGCAACTGAAAAATCACATTTAATGTTTGTTATGCAAATGTGAAAATTACAGTGCAATCTTGTGGCAGTAAAAATTTTAAATGGTGATATAAAATACTTATAATGACATTGTTAAATGATGTCAGTAACTGTATTAGTATATTGTTGTTTTATTAATGATCAAAGTAAGTTTGACATTACAGTCTCAAAAGTAAACCTGAAACCTGCTAAATTCAAATGAATTGTAGGGTAAGATCCTCACATATCTCGCTGAATTTATTCCTTCTAAAGTATCTGCTCTGTAGTCTAGTGAAAATAATTTCTGGAACTGAAAAATCATACTTAATATTTCTTATCCACAGTGTAAAAATTACCGTGTGTCTTCAGTAATTTTATCTGTATGCAGAAAAATTATAAATACTAAATACATTTTTACACTGACCTGGGTATGGAGGAGCTGAACTCTCTCACTTGCGTCCATCAGTTCCTGCTCTGCCAATTTCCTCGACCGCTCCGTCTGCTCCAGAGCCGCTCGTAGCTCCTCAATTTCAGACTGCAGCAGGTTTGCTCTGTGCTCCACCATGGCCACCTGCTCCTTCAGGTCCTCCTGTGCCCTCAGAGCATCATCCAAGTGTATCTGAGTATCCTGGAGAGAAAGGCAAGAAAGACTATGAAGTATATTTTCCTATTCCTTATAGATCATCATAGATCTGATAGAATTGTACAACAGGGAAATATTTAGCTGATTCATAAGCCAGTGAGCACCTCTTGCCTTGTGCCATACCTTGAGCACTCCCTGTGTATTTCTCAGGTTCTTCTGTGCCTCAGCAGCCTGGCGATTGGTGAAGGACTCCACCATTCTGAGGGTATTTCTTTTCATCTGGTCGATCTCTTCATCTTTCTCTGCTACCTTCCTGTCAATCTCAGCCTTGACCTGGTTGAGTTCAAGTTGGAGGCGCAGAATCTTGCCCTCTTCATGTTCAAAGGATGCCTGAAAAAAAAAGTTAATATTTGTTAATTATATAAATACCAATGTCAGTAATTTTATTCTTGAAGAATAATATATAGTACTAGATTTGACAATGCAGGAAAGACTTCTGTATATCCGAAGATTTTAATAATGTCCAAAATTCCCTGCTTCCTGTGCCTATAGATTATTCTCTATGCGTGTAATTTCATAAATTTTGTCTGAGGTTGCTAAACTGTGTTGTAAGTGAACAATTCAGAACGGAAGGCTGTACCTCGGCTTCCTCCAGTGAGGCTTGGAGCTCAGATTGTTCCTGCTCAATCTGCTTCTTGACTTTCTCCAGCTCGTGAATCGCTTTTCCTCCCTCTGCAATCTGCTCCGTGAGGTCAGAAATCTCCTCTGTGGGAACAAGGACTAACGGCATGGTTGGGCACAGATCAGAATGGGAAGGGCCCTGACACACCAAGGTGACAGGCATCTTTGCCCACCTGCAGGCACAGAGCCATGTGAAGTGGTGGGTACTGGTGGGTGGTGAGAAAGCCCTGCCAGGAGCAGAGGGCCAGGGACTTACGCTGCAAGTTCTTGTTCTCGCGCTTCAGCGTTTCCAGGTGGTCCAAGGACTCCTCATAGGCATTCTTCATCTTAAACAGCTCCGTGCTGAGAGAGCGAGACTCCTTCTGGGAGGCTTCCAGCTCAGCCTGTGTTTCCTCATACTTCTGCTTCCATTCTGCCAGGATCTGAAGAGAAACGTGGTGTCAGTATGGATGTGACAATCAGGAGGGGATGCTCAGTCCAAGATCCCCCAGGCTGGAGCCTAAAAGACCTTGTCAAAGTTCTTCTGCTTCTTATCCAGAGCTGCACAGGCAGCATTTGATCTCTCCACATCAATCATCAGGTCCTCCACTTCATTCTGCAGCCTCTGCTTTGTCTTTTCCAGGGAGGCACATTTGGCATTGACAGCTTCCACATGTTCTTCTGCATCCTGCAGGCGCTGTGCCAGCTTCTTCCTGGAAGGAGATAAGCAGAGCTCATCGTTAGAGGTAAAGGGTTTGCCACAGCTGTGTCCCAGCACTGACTGATTATTAAGCCTGTCTTAACCATTCTAGTCATAAAGGCGACATTTTTCCTTCCAGTCTATTTTTCCACAGGACACTTTTTCTCTCTCCCTCTCTGCCCTCTTTCTCAAAGACACTACATCCCCGCCTCTTTTTCCTGCCCTATCCTAACCTTGGTTCAGAGACTCCCATCTCCCTGCAGAGTCCCAGTGTTCTCCAGCCATTCTACATCCCACTTGCCACGTACTTGGCCTCCTCCAGTTCCTCTGTGCGCTGAATAGCGTCTGTCTCATATTTGGTTCTCCACTGGGCCACTTCGCTGTTGGCCTTGGACAGGGCACGCTGCAGCTCCCCCGTGGCTCCCTGCTCCTCCTCATATTGTTCCCGGAGCAAGTCACAGTCGTGGCGAGCAGACTGCAAGGCATGGGCCAGCGCGTTCTTGGCCTGCAGCAAGAAGAGTGGGGAAAAGTTATAGCGTGACAACAATGGAAAAATCCTGAAAAATCTCCACTATTGATGGCACTGCAAAAAGAATTAATGGCTAGGCCATAGGGCTGGATGACACTTTCCAGGTTGGAAAGAACTGCATTACTAAAGTAGTTATTTTTCTCTGTCTCATCTTGTAGATTCTTTGATTTCATACATCTATGATAATATCTTTTCACCTTTATCTCTTCCTCTAAGTGTCTCTTGAGCTCCTCAATCTGTTGGGTGAAAGCCTGCTTGCCTCTTGACAGCTGAGAAATCAGTGATTCTTTCTCCTCCACTTGGCGTGAGTATTCACCTAGGAAACCACAACGAAAGGAAATATATACAATGTCATTTGTGACCCAAAAAACCTCTTTTCGGATTCTCTCCTATTCAAGGACACAGAGGAAGTTCTCTCACCTGACTCTGTCTGTAGACGAGCTCTTTGAGCACTGAGGTCATTGATCATGCGCTGATGCTCTTCTTCCTTCGTCTTAATCTCACTCAACTGGTCTTCCAGTGTGCGACACATCTTTTCCAGATTTGCCTGTGTGGAAACAAATGGAAGTGGAGGAGTTCTGTAATGCAAACTCTTAATAATAGCAGCTGCAAAAAGTCCTGTTTTCTAGGTTTTTCAGAAAATTTTTCTAGATTTCTGTTGGGGCAGAAATATCCGGAATGTATTTGTGTACCTTGGCTTTGGAGACGGAC